GGAAAATACAAAAATTCAACAGAAATCTTTGGTTCACGTGCACTTAAAGATTACACCAACGAACAAACTTTTTGGCAGGCAGTTGCTTCTATACATCCAAAATTATCCGCCTTTGCTATAAAAATTTTGCAACTTCCAGCTGCTGCGCCAAAATTAAAATCCTATCCTAATAATTTAAATGATTTAACTCCAAAAAGATTCGAAAAGTTAACAGATTTATTTTATCATCTAAATATGTAAATGAAACATTAAATTCTTGTCATGCAACTATGATTGAAGATTATATGCAAGATATTTGAAGTTAAAGAACTAATATAAAACTACTAATACATAAATATTTTATATACTACAGTTCTAGTCTACAGGCAATATCTCGTCTATTTTCGTCACATATTACATGTATTATGAATATTTGTTTTGCTTGTAATCAGTGCCTATCAAAATCGATCCCCTTCGTGAAAGTAAATGTATTACTAAAGGGGTGTACAGATCAGTGAGATCAGATATAGATCTGAGATCAAAATGCTATATGTTTAATTATTATTTAACATTATTTTTGTTTTTCATCGAAGACTATTGCAGACGAGCAGCTGCAAAATTATTTTATTATTTTTAATTTGTTTTTAATTTTATCTTTGATCTCTTATCTTTTATATCATGTCAATTTTCCTTTTGCGTGAGAAATAAATTGTCAAATTCTTATCAGGAGATTTTAAGGACATGCATGGAATACCAAAAAGCGTATAGCCGTTATCAAATTAGCGATTAAGATTGAAATTCAGTTAAAATTTGATCAATCAGAGCAAAATTTATTAAATTTAATCGCCAATATGATACAAGCTAATGACAAAATTATTATTTAATTTAAGTAAGCATGTTTATGTATTATTTAAATTTAAACGCATTTAACTAATATAGTAATTACATGATTTTAATAAATAATTGTTAGACTGGAAAAATAATAGTACAAGCTATATTTGGAATAAAATATGTATTTTTGAAAAACATTGATTTACAATCTTTGTCTCTTTGTATAGAACTTAAAAGCATCTTAGTTTTTCAAATAAATGTTATAAATTTAAATATACGACATATACGTATAGATATTAATCCGATTCTACCAAATCATCGTAATAATCATCAAAATATTCATTCATTTTTAAAGTGTAATAAATATCAATCAATTTCATAGACCGGTCAACAGTAAGACGATTACGCAAATCCGAATGAACAAAAGCCCAGCAAGAAAAGAGTCGTTCAAGTTGCGCTGAAGCAGCCGGAATTTTTAGTAATTTCTTAGCAAGCGATGATAGACGAGGGCAGAATGGTTCAGCTGTGATCCAAAACGTTTCTGGTGACATGATATTTCGCTTCTGTAATTTTTCAAATATACCAAAATTTTTTTTTATATAAATCCAACTCCGGTTTATCAGTGATACATTGCACATTCAATTCTTGTTTCAAAAAGTCAAAAACCATTATTTTCATTCTTTGTTCATCGTGTAAAAATTGTTTGGCTCGGTACTGAGGATGTAGAAAGTTCGAAGTCAGCATAATTGGTGTTAAAACTTTACTCAGTCGATTATTCAACTTTTGTTGCATTTCATCATTATCTGTTGGAATTTGCAATTTTAACCATTCTTCACATCCGTCGGCTATTCTGCAATTAGATCGCTGACAGACATTTATTAATTGGCATATCGGGTCAAAAATCAAGATAAAATCCTGTAATTGTATCGCAAATGAGGGATCCTTCAGTAGACTTTCACTTTTACTATCTAGTTGAACCTTTTTCTTAGCTACTAATGTTTGCATCAGGCATAAATTTTTTAGCAGACATCTAAATGCATTTCTGTAGCTACACCATCTTGTGTCACATGCTAGGATAATTCTGGAGCCTCCTTGCTGCTTTAATTCGTATTCTGCACCTGGTGTTTTAAATGATCGCAAAAGGTTATTTACTTTCTTCGCAAATGTCTCTGGCACCAGGTCCTTTGCTAACAAATTTCCACTGTGGCTGTGACAAGTAGTGTGCCAAATGTCTACTTTTTTTCTCATTGACATCATTGACGATGCATTATCTGAAACCACAGCATATGTAGTAATATTAAACTTTTCCTTTGCTAATTCCTTAGCTTCGTTGACGATTTCTTTAAGTTGATTACCAGTTTCTTTCAGTCCGGTTAAATCACAGGATTTAAGAAATATGCACTTTGAGTTTACTGTAAATATTGTGCATACCACATTTTTCGTATTAGCTGATGAATTTTTCCATCCATCAATTAATAGAACGCCATCAGATCCAAGAGATGAGACTCTTTCAGCCAATAAATTTTGGTAAACCTTGTCGAGCAGATTTGTAGAAAGTTTTTTCCTTGTTGGAGGTTTGTATGTTGGAAGTAGAAGTTTCAAAAAGTTTTTGAAATATTTTGATTCAACAACGTTAAATGAAATGTTACATCAAAAAAAAATTGAGCTAATGCTAAATAAATATTCTCGTCAGCTGCCAACGCTTTCTTATGGTTATATGTTGATGAATGTTTGGATTCTAACCGCTGTTTCTTTGGACGAGGAGTTGAACATGTTGGCTGTAAATAAATAAAGTTTTTCTCAAACGAGTAAAATTAGAAGACATGTACATATCGTTTCTTGATTACTTACCTGATTGATTTTATCTTTAGAATTCATCTTCTATTTTTTTATAATGTAAAATCCTGAGTTGATAACAATGACAAGTGATTGACAACTAAATGTGTTGATTTTAGATAAGGTTATGGGGATTCACATTGAGTATTTTCCTCGGAATCCTCGGATGAATACACGACTGTTTTAATCCTGTTCTAGGTTAGATAGTTTTAGACATGTATATTACGTTTTATACATATTTGACGTAATATACATGTTTATTACGTGTAACGTAAAAAATCCCTAAAATTTGTCAAATGTCCCAACCCT